TGAAATCTCATTTTAAGAGTCTCGTGTCCCACATGTGCCTCTTGATGTAGAGGGAATGAAATTCCGATAGACACGTAGCTAGGTATATGTCTTATTATACTTTGTCTGGTGTTCTGTCGGTTAACCAAGGGCACTTGCTTGTATCGTGTGTTGTAGGTTGTCGAATTGTTCTTGGCAAGTTGCAGAACCATCGACAAGTGCTGAGACCAAAATCATCAAAATACACGAGCGAATCTGGCCGACAAGTTGTGGCGACAAGCCAGTGTAGCTGGAATCCGTCCCCAAGAATGGGATGAGTTCACTGAACTGAGCCTGCAGCAACATTCTCCCGATGGCCCTGGAGGCGAACCTTGAGGGACCTGGCAAACGAGCGCGCCCGACATCCGAGCCACGTGGAAGTAGCTTGCCTTTTGGCGCATTGTCTGGTGGTGGGGGTGCTGTTACGCTTGTCCACAACGAACGTCAATGCTTCTGCAAAGGCAATCTGTGTCAAGGCTTGCGATCGAGCCCACCTTACGCGACTAACTAGATGTCATCATCACCGGCCGCGCCGGTTTGCATTACGTTATGCACAGCGAGCCCCGTAAGCCCACGAGCCCAATGAAGCAATCGGCGCCTTCCAGTCTGGCGAGTCTTTCGCAATGCGTGGCAACCTCACTGGTACTAGGTTGCAACCACGCGCAGCGGCTTCGGTTTTGATGGCCATGACGCAGCCCAGTGGCGGGTCCTGATTGTAGGATTCTGACATCACGGCCAGAGGCGCATGTGGTTAGACGTTGGTGACGAGAAAGGTCCTTCCGGTTCCTATAAAAAAGCAAAAAGTCAAGCGGCACGTCGCCAGCAGGTGACCTAAGTGTCAGAGACAAGCCGACGTAGCGTCAGAGAAGACATCTCGGCTTTTCGAGTCCCTAAGCTGCCGGCCCCAGTGCCGAATATGTAACACATCTGTTTATATGCTGTACATAAACCTTGCCCTTACTCACCATCGTCTCGTCCGCTCGTCTATCAGCTCTGCGCAAAAGCAGTCGCGAGCTGAGTAACACACGCTGCCAAACGGCTAATGACCTTGGTGGCGGAGCTCAGAGATGTGCGCCTTAGGGACCGTGTTGGCGTTGCGCCTTCGTAACAACGCAAGAAACGCACTCACAGCTACAGATGAACGCGAATAAGCTACTCAGTTGTTACTTCGCTGTCTCTGAAAAACGTGCTCTTTTCGCAAACGGAGGCCGTGCAACGATTGCAGTAAACTTTGTGCGCCCAGTAACTACAACAGAATTGTTGCTGTGAAAGCCAAGCCACCCAAGGCGCTGGATTGTCCCCACCTCGAAATAACCGAGCGCGTTAGCATTCCCCCTGCTCCCTTACCGCGGGGCAAAGTACGCGTGGAAGATTAGAGCGCGTGCCGCCGCGTCGTGACGACGTGGTGACGCGCTCTCATTGCGCCATCTTGCTGGTAATGCTGAAAACACGATAGTTCCTCCCGAGATGCCCGTCACAGCCAGTGTTT